AAAATTTTTTTTTTGCAATATTGACTCCATTTCTCATGCCGCATCTATTCCTAAATTTTTTTGGATAAGTTGTGAATCACCCTGCATAAATATTAAACTCATACATTTACAGGTTTAGCATAAAAGAAAACGAATATAAACACCTTAAATGCAAACTGTAGATTATTTGTAATATTAAGTAACAATATTACATTAAATAATTACAAGTATATGAGAGTATAACCTCAAAATGGACAAAATATGTGAATAATACACTTTTTAATACACTGATAACTGCAGCTTACTCGAAAACATAAAAAATCTATTAATCAGAAAACGTTTTTTGCTGTTATAACAATTTTCCACTTATTACTATAAATAAAACAATTATTTTTCGGTGGATTTACTCTTTTAAGGTTTTAACTTAATTCTTTGATGGTTTATTAAAAAAAAAAAATTTTTGTACATTAAACTTTATTTAACAATAAATTTCACGGATTTTTCATGAAATATTTTTATTTTTTGTTATTTCAACTATTATTTCAGTTTAAAAAAAAAATAAATGCACCATCTTAAAGTAGAGATTTTAAGCTTAAAAAAGTGCTCCCATAAAGTTTCAATATCATATTTACAAGTATAGTTTTTGATCTATAAAGTATGGCATAAAAAGTCAAATTTGTGATTTTTTAAAATTATTGAATATGTTGGGCTCAATATTTTTCAAATTAAATTTTTAAGATTTTTTCCATATCGCTCACTGTTTCAATTGTCATTTGAAGAGTAATCTGTGAAAATTACAGACATTTATTTTAAAAATAAAAAGAATGACAGCTATTTTATTATTATTGTACACAATTATAGAATGACGTAACTTTGTATACGTACTACATATATATTTTTTTCTCAAGTTTAAAGACATAAAATTTTAATAGCCGGATGACTCTTCTTTCATTTAAATTTTTGTGAGGTCGATTTGATTAATTAGATAAAAAATTATAACAAATTTAGTGTAGCGCGCTCGGGGCCGCGCGCTCTTCGAGAACTATACTTGGGGTCCGCCCTTC